TTCAATAGTTTTATTCATTTCAAACGGGCCGGATCCTTGCCCACAGCTGCTCTAGGCAGAAGCAACTGCCCCACCCTGTTGAAAAAACTCTCACCACACCTTCGGATGATTGCCTGGGGGCAATTCAAGTCAGAATCCTATTAGTCTGTAGACAGAAATGGTCTCCGCAGGTTTTGAATCTTTGCCTGATCCAATTAGTCAGACAGCCTTTAACACTGTCCTGCACTAGAGATTGAGAGGTGTAGGAGGATCTATCCAATACATAGTCACAAACCCAGAAAGACAACCAAAATAAGGAAACAAAGAAATAACCCCCAAATGAAAGAACTAGAGAATTCTCCGGAAGAGATAAATGAAGCAGAGATAAGAAATTTATCTGAAACAGAGTTCAGAGTAATGATTTTTAAAGTGCTCAACAGTATGAAAAAAGATATAATAACTATGAAAAAAGAACAGTCTGAGATAAAGAAAGACATAACACAAATAAAGAGCACATTGGAAGGAATACACAGCAGATTAGGGGAAGGTGAGGATCGAATCAGTGAATAAAAGACAGAGTTGAAAATATCACTCAATTAGAGAACCAAAAAGAAAAAAAACAATTAAAAAACATGAGGACAGCTTAAGGGAGCTGTGGGACAGAGAGACACGTAACAACGTTACAATAATAGGTGTACCAAAAGAGGCAGAAAGGAAGAAAGGAATAGAAAAGGTGTTGGAAGAAAGAACTGTAGAAAACTTCCCTCACCTGGTAAAAGAAAAATCACACAAGTTCAGGAGGCACAGAGAAACCCAAACAAGAAGAACCCAAACAGACTCACATCCAGACACATCATAATAAAAATGCCAAAAATTAAAGACAAAGAGAGAATCTTAAAGGCAGCAAGAGAAAAAGAAAAAAAGTGTTACCTAAAAAGGAGTTCCCATGAGGCTGACACCTGATTTCTCATCAGAAACTCTACAGGCCAGAAGGGAATTGCATGAAGTACTCAAGGTAATGGAAAGCAGATCTTCTGAGACCAAGGTTACTATATCCAGCGAGGCTATCATTCAAGATAGACGGTCAAATAAAGAGCTTCCCAGATAAAAAAAGCCTAAAGGAGTTCATCACCACCAAGCTAGCATTACAAGAAATGTTAAAGGGATTGCTATAAGGGATTGCTGAGAAGAAACAGAGAGAGAAAGCTAGCCATACAGAATTAAAATGGCTATAAATAAGTACCTCTCGATAATAACCCTAACTGTAAATGGATTAAATGCTCCAATCAAAAGGTGTAGGGTAGCTGAATGGATACAAAAACATGGCCCAACTATAAGCTGTCTACAAGAGACCCACCTCAAAACAAAAGATACACACACAGGATGAAAGTGAAGGGATGGGAAAAAAATTTCCATGCAAATGGAAAAGAAAAAAATAAAAGCTGTAGCAGCAATATTCATATCTACAAAATAGACTTTAAAATAAAGGCCATCACAAGAGACAACAAAGGTCACTACATAATACTAAAGGGATCAATTCAACAAGAGGATATAACCCTGGTAAACATTTATGCATCCAATATAGGTGCAGCTAAATATATAAAAAAAACTTCTAGAGGACTTTAACGGAGAGATTGACAACAATACAGTCATAGTAGGGGACTTGAACACCCCTCTGACTTCCCTGGACAGATCTTCCAGACAAAAACTTAACAAGGAAACAGAGACTCTAAAGGAAACACTGGATCAGATGGATTTAATAGACATTCATAGAACATTTCTCCCCAATGCAACAGAATATACATTCTTCTCAAGTGCACATGAGTATGGAGTTTCCTCAAAAAATTAAAAATGGAACTCCCATTTGACCCAGTCATCCCACTTCTAGGACTATATCCCAAGAAATCAGAAACACCAATCAGAAAGGATATATGCACCCCTATGTTCATAGCAGCATAATTTACAATAGCTAATATTTGGAAACAGCCTAAGTGCCCATCAACAGATGAGTGGATTAGAAAACTGCGATACATCTACACAATGGAATACTACGCTGCAGTAAAAAAGAAGGAACTCTTACCATTTGCAACAGCATGGATGGACCTGGAGAGCATCATGCTAAGCAAAATAAGCCAGTCAGAGAAAGATAAATATCACATGATCTCATTTGTGGAATATAATGAACAACATAAATTGATGAACAAATATAGAGCCAGAGGGAAAAAATATATAATGGAATATAATAGAAGTAATCCTGTTATTTGCAGATTTTTAGTATTTCCAACAACTTCTGAGATATCATACTATGTTAGTACAGTTTTGGTAATATTATACTTGAAATCCTTTTATTCTTGAAATATTAGTGTTTATTGCATGTAATATTATTATATGTAAAATCATTTTTCTTGAATAATTGGTATTTACTGCATATAACATTATCATATTTAAAATCATTGTTCTTGAGATAAAAAAAATGCTTCATCTTAAAAACAGAAGCTGCCTTTCTTCTGGGAAAAGATGATTTGAAAAATCAAGGTATGAGAAGCATACTGATTCCACTATCTTCCCCAAACTTCACCATGCTATAAAATAACTAACTGGAGTATTTTAATACTATTTCCCTGATGGGTACACCACAATGTCTAAAAGGAAACCAACTTAAAAATTTCAGATTCACTCTGTTCCTCTTACTGCAGATCCTCAAAATTTAGCTGTAACTTACAATGTTTCCCTTTCAAGGGTTACTAGAATTAAGCCACTTCTATTCTTAATTTCTAACAGGGAATAAAAGCAGAAAAGAGATTAGAGTATAACTCCAAGCAGTAAGAGCTGCAGGTTAATGCAAAAATGTTTTAATTTACCTGCTATGATATAAGAATTTGCAACCCTGTTATGGAAATAACCACAAAACATTTTGTCTTATTGCTCCTTTCATTTTTACTATAAAGTTTAACTCACATCAGTGAGGAAGCATCTCTTCATATCTGTAATTGTAGATATGAAGAATAAGAAAAGCAGAATACATTTGTTTAACATGGCAGAGATACTCCTAGAAGTTAGATAAAAACCAAACTTACCTTATAAAGACCTAAAGTATCTGACAAATTCTAAACGTTTAACAGATACAAACTGTCAGCTTTCCCAGCCCTCTCAACTCCTTCCCACTTACCCCCTAGTTTAGACATAAATGCAAAGGTCTAAAGCTTATACTATAATTAATTTGGCGCTCAAACAGCATAATGAATAGAAGATAAAAATTGACAAAAATTCTCCCCTTTACCAAACTCTAGCTAGGATCCTCTTGAGCCCTTTTCTCAACTAGGCCTCAACCTCTGCCTATAAAAACTACAGACTCTTAACACAAATGATTTCATCTATTCCTCTCCCCCAACAGTAGAAGATTTAAACAAACACTAACAGTTTCTAACAGCTCAAGACCCCATCCCTAGGTTGACTAGCCCCGCTTTAAGTGCCTGCCTAGGAAAGCTCTGGGTTGCCAAAAGAATTTAAGGTTTGTTATAACCAACATCTGACTACAGGCCCCAGAGCACCCTATCTTAGAGCACTTAATAAAAAGAGTTTACAACTGTGAATTATCCTTGACCCTTTGAGATGTATATGTATCTCCTACAATTCTGGAATTTTTGCTCAAGGATATGAAAGCCATTCCTTTAAAACAGTGGTTCTCAACCTTCCTCATGCCGCGACCCTTTAATACAGTTCCTCATGTTGTAGTGACCCCCAACCATAAAATTATTTTCGTGGCTACTTCATAACTGTAATTTTGCTACTGTTATGAATCATAATGTAAATATCTGATATGCAGGATATATTTTCATTGTTACAAATTGAACATAATTAAAGCATAGTGAGTAATCACAAAAACAATATGTAATTATATATGTGTTTTCCGATGGTCTTAGGCGACCCCAAAGGGGCCGCGACCCACAGGTTGAGAACCAATGCTTTAAAAGGTGATCATCAAGAAGGAGAGGGTCTCAGTCCCTGTCTCTGTAGAATAGAATCAACTTCCATGGTTGTCAGCTAAGAGGCACCGCCCCACCTTATCATTTACACTGACCAAACCCTTTGTAATTTGTCACTTCCCTGACTCTATTGAGCCAAGATAGCAAACCCTGTCTAGTCCCTCACCTTTTAAAATAACCAGTCCCTCTGCACAAATCCAGTTCAGTTCACACAGGACTTTGTATTGTAGCAGTAAATTACTCATTAAGAGCTGTCCTTACCACTTTAACTAGTGTCCAACTTTGTTTATCTTTGACAAAAATAAATAAAGAAGGAACGTTACATTAAGTTAAACATATCTCAATTAAAAGATTAAAAGGAAAAACATATCTCAAGTAGTAAAGACTCAGTTACTTTATATAAGATCATTTGGATATAAAGTTCTTTTTTTAAAAAAAAGCATGAAGGCTGCAACTTCATGAAGGGATCATAAATTCAGGGAGTCAACCAATCAACATTTGGAGCTGGAAAGAACACCTGGTAAACATCAAACCCCAACCCTTCATGTTACAAATGATGAATCTAATGCCCAAAGAGATTAAGTGACTTACCCAAGGTGATTTAAATGAGGGACTGGATTAGAAAAGGCTAATTCAGCATGATTGTCTTCCTGACTCCAATATGAAATATTCTTTCTCTTGCATTCTCATTGGTAAAGGCAACATTCACCATTAATCATTCAAGGTCAAACATGAACATATATTACCCTAGTACAATGTGAGTTTTTACAATTCCACTATACACCACAACTGTACATCAAGGACAGTTTGTTTGATGCAAGTACACATAAGATTTCATTTCATTCGGGGAGGCTATTTCAATAGTCCTAGGGAAATATATGAAGCACCTTGGTGAAGAGAAATTGCTTTCACACACAAACAAAGAAACAAATCCCCATGCATAAACCCAAAGGAGGGCCAAATGATGTAGCTAGTCTTAGGAACAACCAAAAGAAGAAAAATAAAAGTAAATAAAAAATCCTTTTCTGCACTTACCAGCAAAGCATTTGGAACAGAGGTTCATAGTCTTGCTGGACCTGGGGCAAAAAAGAAAAAGGAACAAAAAGAAAGAAGAGCTAAAAATTCAGTATCATTGGCCAGGCAACCACACTAATAAACTAATAATAAATCCCCAACCAGCCACACCACCCCCACAACAAAACACAATACTTTTTGTTTGTGAGTTATCCAATGCATTATTTTTTGTGATTAGCAGCTTAAGATGATGACACAAGAGTCAATTTCTCCCACATAATTACCACATTCCTGCTGTTCACACTGGAGCATATATCACGAAGTTATCACTATAATGAAAACTTTGTCTGTAAAGGGGCAAAACTTCCTCACTGTATACACATTCATTTTTCTCTACAGCATTACTTGAACTTTTCTCTTGTCTTTTTTCCCCCTCATTCCACTCCTATTTCAAGATCCTGGTCACATTATGACCTTGCTGTTTAAAATTCTTTCTTCAGATGTTCCCAATAAAATTATTTTTCATGTCCTTTCCTCGTTAATAATAGCTACTAGTCTCGGAAAAATAACTTGAGTGGGCACTTGACATGCATTATCGTAATCTTCCTAACATCCCTGAAATGGGTATTATCATATTGCTTTGCTTCTAAATGCATTTTTTAAAAATCACATTAACATTTGTACAACCATGAAACATCATGCAATTGGCTACAAGGAATGACTAATTTAAATGAGAAAATGTTCCCACCACCTCCTACAAGGGGTCTGAAATTCAGAGGTCTTAGGAAATCAAGGCCATACAGTCCCATGCCCACGTGAAAGATGAGCAGCTTGCCCAAGGTCACACAGTTGGAGAAGTACAGAGGAAGTATGTGACCTCGGTACTGAGCCAACTCCAAAGGCCATCCTGCGATCCTCTGTTCACAACACAGCACAGTATGTGGCATCACACAGCAGCCCAGGCACAACACAGTGGGCAATCTAATCTAATAATAGAGGAATATGTAAATTTGTCCATTACAGCATCATGTCACGACCAGATCAGCAGGTTGCATCCCCGTGCTCTGCTCAGGCAGCTGAAAGGCCCAGGATAGGATAGGATACGACAGGAGAGGATAAGGAAGGAGAGGGAGAGGAAGGCAGGCTGAGAGGAGAAACAGAAATACAGAAAGGGAACAAGAAAAAGATACAGGGATGGAAAAGGGAAGGAAACGCGGGTGGAGCAGGTGCGCCCCTTGGGTGGGGCACAGGCAGAAGCGGGAGGAGGCTGGAGGACAGCTGAGGCCTTCTGGGCAGAGGCGCTCCTGCTTCCTGGCAGCAGCGCCCAGGGCCGCGCGGGCCTCAGCCACCCTCACTGGGCCGGGTGTCCTAGACAGGGAATAGGAGCAGGACAACAACAGGGAAGCCCGGGAAGGGGGGGGGGGGGGGGCAGTGAACACCCGGCCAGGGCTGAGCTCTGGGCTGGGGGTTAACGGCCTGCCCCAGCAGAAGCTTTAAGAAGGGAAGGAGGGAGGGAAGAACTTTATAAAGGAGTTAGCAGAGAGCAGAGTTAAAGAAGGAAAGAGGATGTGTGAGTAAGCTGCAGGAACTATAATGAAAATCAAGTATAGTTGTGTATTGGGGACAGATTTTAAAAGTAGGAGTCAGAAAAGAAAAAAGATAAATGATAGTGAATAATTAGGCAGGTAGATAGATATTAAAACAGTGGAAGAATGTATGGGAAAGGTAGGATGAGAGAGAAAGAGGGAAGAAAAGTTTTAAAGGGGAGCCAGTACTACTTAAAAGGAGAATGGGAAGAAGGAAGAAATTGGGGGAGGAAGCAAAGCAAGTCCAAGGAAGGAAGTAAAGAAAAAAAATAAGGTGGGAAGGAAGGGAAAGGGGAGGGAGGGCAGGGGTACAGATAAAGGAAAGAAGGAATGTGGGGGGGAGGGAGGGAGGGAGGGTAGGAAAAGGATGAGAAGAAGAAGGATGGAACACAAGTAGGAAATAACGAGGAAAGAAAAGTTTATAAATGATGAGTCAGTAGGAAAAAGTGTTACATAAAGGAGAGAGAGAAATTGTGTGACAGGGAGAAGCCAGTAAGAAAGTCAAATACAATTGTGTGTGAAGGGGATAAGATGGGGAAAAAAAGTTAATAGGGGCGACCAGGCCAGCAAGTGAGGGCAGTTAGGGGGATCAGGCTGGCACGGGAGGGCAGTAGGGGGGATCAGGCAGGCAGGCAAAATGGTTAGAGCAGGCAGGCAGGTGAGTGGTTAGGAGCCTGAGGTCCTGAATTGCAAAAGGGATGTCCAACTGCCAGTTTAAGCCTAATCCCTGGCTTCCAGATTAGAGAGGGTGCAAGTGGGGCTGAGGGACCACCCCCTCCTGTGCATGAATTTCATGAACCGGGCCTCTAGTCAATAATAAGTTGTCTGTTAAGTTATTCTCATTGCTATTTCCCTTCCTGAATCTTTCTCAAGTACTAGACTCATTCCGACAGCTTTCTTCCAAAAGACTCCTGGAATACTCTGTTGAATAATCTGACCTATTTACAGCCTCATTCCTCAGCAACTCCCTTCCCCATATTTTAGTCTTTGCCCAGAGCCACTCCTCCACATGGATTAAACCAACTTTCTTCTGCCTCCTTAGTAAATTTTATAATGAAAGCCTTCCTCAGGAAGTATTCCCTGATGACTATGATTGTATGCCAATGTAATGGAACCAAAGACCTAATGGTTAGTAACTGTCATAAGGTGACAATATTTGGGGGGTGGGGTGGGGGGGGGGGGGACCGACCAAGAAGGGATGGTCATTATTTCTCTTTCCCAAAGGAGATGCTATGTTAACAGGTAGATTTTTCTTTAAGACTCTACTTAATATAAGGACAACAAAGGCAGTAAGGAAATTTAAGCATCAATAATTGCATACAAAATGAAAAAATGGAAGATGTATTAATAATGGAATCTAACATTTTTTATATGCCTACTATGTGGTAAGCATGATACTAGATGCCTTCAACCCCATTTCACCAAACGAGAAAACAGAGGCTCCAAGAGGGTATATAACTTGCCAAAGGTTACAAAACACGTTAGGTGATGAACCTCGTCTGCTGAACTCCAAAGCCTGTGTTGTTTTCACCACGTCATGCCTCGAATACAGAGGAGAGGGGTAATCTGGAAGAATGGTCCGACAGAACCTAGACAGAACCTAGACACAGAACCTACACAGAACCTAGAGACAGAAGAACTTCGCTGGAGAGAACATGGCAAAAGATCCTGGACAGAAACTGGAGACAGAACCTAGCGAGAGAACATGGCAAAAGATCCTGGACAGAAACTGGCCACACAACCTAGAGACAGAACCTAGCGAGAGAACCTGGCAAAAGATCTTGGACAGAACCTGGCTACAGAACCTGGCTGGAGAACCTACAGAACCTGGATAGGACATGGCAAGAGAACCTGACTAGAATCTGGTGACTGAACCTGGCTGGAGAACCAAACCAGAACTTGGCTGGAGATCCTAACCAGAACTTCGCTGGAGATCCTAACCAGAACTCAGCTAGAGATCCTGGCTAGGCTGCTGATCAACTGAACGCTGCCTCTGTGTCGTTCCTTCTTCGCCGACTCTGTCCACACCTTTGGGGACCCCTGGACCTGCTGGGGTTGGACCCCGGCATTTTTTTTTATTATTTGTTAATTTGCATATTAGTAAAATATAATATAGCTTTGTTTTAGAAAGTTTTTTTTTAAATCTTGTTTCAGTTGTGAATATGTATATAAATGTGCAAATTTTTCAATATAGAATTTATTCCTTACTATGGGTCCTGGTTTTTAAAAAAGTTTGAAAAAATATGGAGTTAAAATAAGAAGTTGCAGGGAACGTTTAGAAAAGATGCTGAGGATATTAGGCAGGTTACTCATGTGGGCACAGTGGAAGGATTTTAGGAAGTTGGAGAGGTTGGGATATGTGAGAAAGGAAGAAGTTTAGAAACATAAAAGTGAGTGTCAGGGCATTTGAATCAAAAGCCTCTGAATTAGAGCATTTTCCCCTAAATCCTATTTCTTCTTCACATTGGCAGTGGATAAAGGGAAGGTACAAGTAAACTTGACTACACCAAAATTAAATATACAGAACAGATCCTACAAGGATTAGGGAATATCTCTTGGCCCACAAAAGACTCTTTTTTTTCTTTTTAAAAATTTTTTTACCTATTGATTTGAGAGAGAGAGGGAGAGGCATAGATTTGTTGTTCCACTTGTGCATTCACTGTTTTCTTCTTGGATGTGCCCTGACCGGTGATCAAACCTACAACCATGGCATCTCGGGACGACGCTCTAACCAAAGCAGCTACCGGCCAGGGCCACTGTTTCTTTTTCTTACGTTGTTGCTCTGGCTAGAACTCTAAGACAATGTTGAATATTAGTGGTGACAGCAGGCATCCTTATACTGTTTCCGATCTTCTGGGGGAAAGTTATCAGTCTTTCCACAGTGAGTATGATATTAACTATGGGTTTTTCATAAGTGCTTTTTACAATGTCAAGGTGATTAAAGTAATTTGAGTCTTATCAACTTAGGCTTTAGCTAAGATACCTCAATGAAATGCAGTTTAGTAGAAATAGTGTATTTTTTAAATCTGCATTGAAAAACATTTGCTCGATGAGACTGAGTGCATAAGAGGAACCATACCTTCCACTTGGTAAAGAGATCAGCAAGGAAACCATTCACAGCTTTCTCAAAATACAGATCCCCATAAATATCAAAATCCCACATTTCACAGCTCATCTGAATAAATATGTAAACCATAGCCGACGTAGAACGGAACACCACCCTGGTATCTTCACTGATATAACCACACATGACCTTAAAAAAAAAAAAAAAAAAAAAAGAATGGTCCCACAACTAAAGATTTAATCTGTGGTAATTAGGTCAGCTCTCTTCATATGGTGAAAGCGCAATGCCTCCCCTTCAAAAACATATACCAGCAGGAGGGCAGGCATTGTACCAGTTCCATCTCATAGAAGATCTGATGATAAAGGAATCCCTTGGTTACTAGAACTCCCCCCAGGGAAGCAGGCCTCTTCCA